CATCACTTTGATATCAAATAAGTTTTCATATATTCCATCACAATATGTTGTTATCTCGTAGGTTAGGTTAGGTTTGTGCCATGTTAATGTTCGTTAACTGTCAGACTGAGATTGTGATGAATCCTCACTCTGGGTAATTTGATCCTGCCATATGATTGATTGCCGTGGAACCCGCTTTTGCACTAAACTAACTTTAAAACCAAATTTCCAGTAGCAATCAAAACGTGAACATTGAAATAATTAAAGTTATCGCATATTTAAGTAAAAAACTAGCTATATTGATTGTCACTGCCAGAGCCAGGAAATACTGTTCTTCACTTCATACAGATATTTATAATGCAAAATACCTTATTTAAAAATCTTAGAACTGTTGCCATATTATGAAATGGTAATTTATTATTTTACTATTTGTGGGGAGGAAAAATGCTTTAACACTCACACACACAGTAATCAACCGCACATTTAGCATGAAATGCAAAACTCATGCTTAGCAGACTGCTACCACCTCTCTGTTAGTTGAACACAGTTTTTAAATGGTTCGACTCAAAATAGTCCACCAGCTGTATCACCTGCGATTTATAGAATTTGTCGCACAATCTTGGCCATAAGCTTTATAAACATTCTTCTTCTTTACTTCATGTGGTAAAAACTATTTTTCTCTCAACTGCAACAGCGGCGGTTCCATGGCTCGTCACCATCCTTCCATTAGTTTGTAAGCATCGAGGTTCCCTGATATTGCTTTTTAAGTGTCTCATGGATACTTTATATTTTTATAAAGTTACTAATAGGTTGTATATAAAGTAAGTTTATGTGTTTGTTTACTTAAGTCCTCAAATTGATTTAGGTTTACGATGATTTTTATACTGATATTCTAGATTAGATTTTGATCTCGAAAGAGTTTGATTCAAAGAACGATCTTGTTTGTTGGTTATAGGTATTCACAAATTTATTTTAATCCTAAGTTTAACTAAAGAACTTTGTTATTCAAATCTGTTTTGAACTTGGTTAGGCATGTTTAGAATTTCCATGTATAGTCAAATTTGGCAATGAAGCATGGATATAAAAAAATTTAAATTAGGTATGAAAATGAAATTAGACACAACAAAGTAAACTATTAAAAAATTTTCCATGATGATCAAATAAAAAAAACTTTTTTTAAATTTTATGTCTACAATATTTGAATAGTATTTCAAACAATACACATTTAGTTCCCTTTTGATAATTTCACTTACCATAGTTTTTAGTTATTTAGTCTTTGAGTTACCAAACCTTCAAGCAAGATGGTTTCAAACTAATTTTCCTTTTCATGTATTGTTTGTTCTAAATTCTGATGATGTACAAAAGTCCCTTTTGGGCGTACAATCACGGATCAAGCTAATCTGAAAATACAGGATAACTCTTAGGATTATTTTAGCTCATCTCAAATGCAGATATAAACACTCTTTTTTATACCAGTTATCTTGAACCTGTTCCTATGTTAATATAACTCAAGAAATCACCATTCAACATTTTTAGCGACTATAAAGTCTCTTTATTTTAAAGCTATAATTTACAGTTAAATATTTTTTAACTTAGGCTTACATGTATTTCTATTTTTCAAACACAAATAAAATATTATGATGAGCTGCCAAAAATGTTGAGTTTAAAGGGTAAATTTTGCAATGCATTCAGCGTAGATTGCTGCCATAGACTTATGATTTTGTGAAATTCTCTTTAAATCTTGTAAGACATCCTAAAATGGTGATTAAAAATATTGACAGTGATAAGTGCTTTTCTATCATGCCTGAAATAAACCCTAACTCCCTACTGTATATAATATAAACCCCTATACTGGGTGACCCACGAAGAGGTTGCTAGTTTTTAATTGTTACTATCAATCAAGAAATTCATTCAACCAATACATAGGTTGCAAAACCCACTAATGGTTTGTCTGCACTTACACCAGACATATCGAAAACGCTACAGAATTGAAACTCTAAAGATAAAATAAATTAATATGTAAAATTAAAAAATACACTGAACACTCTCGTTTCGATTCTGATGAATAAGTACATGGCAGAGAGCAACAATATAAGGAATGAATTAGAAAAAAGATTCTGTGATTAAAAAAGTGAACAGTGACTTAAGGATATGAGTTTGAATAGGATTGAGGGGCAACCCTCTTTCCGAAGGGTCTGCTTCGGCAGCCGGCGAGCCTGATGACCTTAAGTCATCCGCCCATGATGTGCTAAAGGTTGATGCGTAAGCTTCGGCCTACATCATGGGGCCCGGGTATGTCCTGAAGGATAGGTACCGGGTAAGCAGTCAGGGGGCTTCGGTCTCATGACAACAAATAATAATAATAATAAAAAAAGGTTTTAATTCCATTTACTATTTGACAGCTATCCGATAATAATAATTATTTTAATTTTGTTAACTAAAGTAACCATGAAAAAAATAGAGTTCATCTGAAATGGTTTTGCAAATAAAAATATTAAAACTCAAACACATACCTTTGTTTTAATGATCCACCATTTTATTCTGATTGGTCGGAATAAAGTGGGTGGGTGGGGGAGTTTGATACAGTACACTCTTGATAATTCGTAATTGGTGGGCCAAGCAAATAAATTTAAATCGTCAAGAGTTTGTTTTCCTCAGAAATACTAGGTAATTTTTAATGATTCCTTAGTCAAGCGGCTGCAACTTTGATGTCGTTTTTGGCAGAAAAAATTCAAGTTTCACATTTGATAAATGAGGAGTATTGTTGTAAACCAAATATAAAGTCTCTTCTGGTCTAGGATATTCACCTTTTGTGGATCTTTTTCTTCCCACAGCGGTATTCACTCCAACAATTTGGTTTTTTTTTACAACATATTAAAAAGAATGTGAAACCTTTTCGGTGTTTTCTCTACCTACTGAGCATCTGTTGCTGCTGTGGAGTTTTAAGCTTGTAGCATGTCTGATGCGTCAAAATAGCAACCTCTTGATGGGACACCCTGCACCCAAGTGGTGCTAAAATAAAGTAAGAAAAACCTACTAGAAAACAACTTCTACGTTTCATGGAATCTTTAAGAAAATTGTAATGTGTGTTTTGGCACAAGGTATCTATGCTGCTTGAGAAACTACTGTTCATGAGAAGCAGACCAAAAAAGTTTCTCTTGAATACAGCAAAGTATTATTCTGTGCACTAATTATTACAATCTATATTATACTTGATACAATACGGGTTTTCTCTGCAACATCCCTTTTGTACTCGTTCTACTGAAGCAGGGTTTATACATCCCGTTCCCGATGGCCCTGTCAATATTCTCACCTGCTCGACAGAGCATTGTATTTACACGAACCCGTGCTCTACACCCGATCTGCGCTTGGCGTGTCACTTTCCTTCGTTGAAAAATGTCCTTATTAGCTAAAAATGTTTTTAGAAGTTTTCAAAGTGTAATGCAATGGCTCCGTGTTTATTCAAGCGGCAAGTTGTTGGAGTAGCACATTGGCAAGTCAAAAAGTATTTTCCATCTGTAGAGTGAATTCCATTTCGAAAACACAAAAATAAAAACTTGAAGCAAAAGGGAGTGAACACGTCCTGAAATACTTAAAGGTAACTCAGACACACGGTAACTCTGTCCAAGACAGAGAGATTTGCCTAAGTGTAGAAATTCGGATTTCAAGTGCAGTTCCAAGAGGAAGTGTAAGGGACTGGTCTATCCCACCTTTCCTCCCTAAATAGGCTGGAAATCTCTCCCGACCTTCCTACCTGGTCGCGGGCCAAAATGTGACCAGGAGCATGGATTTACACCATTGGATTTGAAGACCGATCTAGGGCCGTGTGAACCGGGCTACAGGCTTTAACTGAGTTTTATAATTAAAGTGTCACTCTATAGCTTAAGATCTAGGTCAGGAAGACTTGTTAGTTTAAAGTTTATATCCATTGGGGCTTCGCCCCCTCCGCCATTGGTTTATTTCTAGGATGTGCTAGTTTTAGTCTTCGGTTAAAATATCCGTTTTTGATCTTCCTGAACCCAATAAAGTGGTTTTTAAAGTGATGTCTGTGTATGGAGCAGAGACCACACAAGTTTTCTGATTTTTATGAAATTTGGTTGTAGGTACTAACTAATCTGTGGTATCTCCATGTGTTTTTTCTTCTGGTTAATTTCTCATTAAAAACACATAAAATAATGGAAAAATGAAATTTTTCAAAAAATGGCCTGAACAATTTTGATTAAAATGTAATATGTTGTAGTCTTTTTAACTCTATATAAAAATAAATAAAAACAGTACAACCCTCATTTCTGTAAAAATTACGGTTAAACATTTATTGTAACTTGTTAAGAAAATAAAAAACTAAAAAAATAGCTTGACCGATTTTGATTTAAGTTTAGTGTTTTATGGTTCTTACAATTCCAAACCCCTATGGTTCAGAATGGTACTACCCCTATGGATAAAGAGCTACTCCATATTTTGTGATTTTACACAATAAAACCATACTTTCCTCGGCTTGCCCATAATAAGGCGAGAAAGTATGTCAGATTACTGATACAGTGTATTTGAGATCACCGTCAAAATGTTGTTGAAGCCTTAATTTATTTTTGTCGCTTTTTACCTTTTTAGAGCCAGGTGAATCAACCAATTGTGTAATTGTTGCTCTATTAAAACTTGTCAACCAAACAGTTTTTTTATGTCCCACCATCACATCCTAGGACACTAGTCTAGCCTGGAACTGTTTTGCACATTACTTCAGGCTAGTCCTAGAGGGTTGCAGCATTATCACATAGATAAAATCCATTGGTAATTGGCAGAAATGGATTTCATCTCAATAGTGCAACTTTAAACTGTTAAGCTTATAGTTGTAGCCATTCCTTTACACTTTTCAATACTTTTTCATTTAAATGGCGACCATACAAAGTAGGTATTTTAAGCCAAGTATGAATGGAGATGAGTGTAGGATCCTTGATTGATATATCATGAGTTTGGTTTGGTTATTGAATGTCATCAAGGTAACAGGGAATAAAAAAGAAACTAACTTACAAAACAACAACTTTAAATATTTTTATTAAATGAACAGATACATGGAAAATAACAATGCTGTTCAGAACAGATATTTTAGAGTAAATCAATTTCAAACGTATTGAGACAATTTATGACAACAAAATTGTTGGTGGTTTGAAATAAAGAAAATTTAAGTAAACCATTTCAGAACCAATGGAGTTGACAAAAATGTTAATAAAAAAAAAACATTACTATACCTTCGTAAATGTAACATTTAAGGTATATAGTTGTCGATAACAATGCAATATTGATAAATAAGAATATTGTATGTTATCGTAGTTGTTACACTTTCAATTTAAGTATAGTAATATACAAACCACTTTTTAAAATACTAAAGCTTATTTAAATGGTAATATTAAATAGAAAAAAGAGTATTTCACTCTTTGAAAGCTGTAAAAAAATAAAGCTTATTGCTTTATTGCAATAGAATACTTTTAGAGAAACTCATATTTTAGAACTCTGACCATCATATTACACTTTGAAGTTTAAATTTTGTATGATACAGGAAAAGTAAAAGGACACAAAAACTTTCAAAAATATATTCCTGTTGATAGCTTAGAGAGAAAAAATTCTAAATAAAAGAGCATGAATAGCTATCAATGAATTGTTGTTAACGAATAAATATTGTTATTAAATAGTAACAGACCAGGGTTTAGACCATTTGCTTACAAAACATAAAAAATTGCCAATTAATAGAAAAATTAATTTCAAAAAAATAGTCATGTAACTATATATATATTCACTGATACAGTACATTGTAATGTTTGGTAGTAAAACAATAAACACAACTATTAATTATTAAGGTATTTAAAAATACAAGACCAATTCACTGAGACAAACTTAAATTATACAAAACATGACGTATAACCTCAATAACAAGAGCTTTTTTAGCAGAGGTTTGTGTTGGCTACTTTTAATTGTTCTAATGAAAGTGTAACAACTTTATGAGAAAACTCATTGAGTCGTAAAGATGATTTCACATTTACCTCGAGAAAACTTGGTTTTTCCTCATAAGAATATCAATCTTATCTTTATACGACTCCGAGAAATGTTTAGTCAAACTTTTACCTTTCGTTAGTATGTATCCGTTTCTAAATACATATTACGAAAATAACAAACCGTTTGAATGGATATAACATTCTCTTTTGCCTATATTAGCTATAGTAAATAATATTGTATGGTTCCCTAATGAAACATACTTGGTATAACTAGAAATCTAGTTTTTATTTCAAGGAGATGGGATTGGATAATGGCTTTAGAACGAAAGTTTGGGTGAAATCTCTTGTATTTTCATAACTGGGAGCTATGCTTACTAAATCAGCATTTAACAGCACTAAAACAATTTTGACACGGGAAGTAATTTTAAGTGTAATAATAAATGTTGGTGTCATGATAATAACGTTTTATGCTCAACAAGTTGATAGTGGCAAATATTTAATTGTGAGCATATGACACTTTTACAATATAAGAGACTTAGGTACCTAATGAAATATATGAATAGTAGCAAAAAAATATCAATTAGGCACCAGCAAAAATTAAACATTATTATTAACTAAGTAAATGTTGTTGTTTTGCTTTAAGGTGTTAGGGTAGAAGGAAACAATTTTGATTGATTTTAAGACTGGAATAAAACTTGTTCAGCTTCCTACAGTCTAAAATCAGAAAATAAACCAATGTTGTTTTGCTGGATAACCGACAGTACTATATGTCGTATTTACTCAATTATTGCATGGCGTTGGCATTTTGAAAAACACAGATGTTTAAATGATTGTCAAGTTAACAATAAGACATGGAACAAACGACACATTATAAAGTATATATTTTTGTTTAGCTTTATTGCTTCTTCGGAAAAGAACAGAATTACAAGGGGTTCACCAAGCTTGTAAAAATAACTACACAAAAAATAATTATTAATGTGTGGTGGAATTTTATTTTTTTATTAATAAATATATCGATGTTTAAGTCGAAATTTTAAAATGATGCTTAGTCTCAAAAAATATTATTCAAAGTAGGCCTTTTAAATTTTGCAATCCACTAAATAATTAAATTTTCAGCCAAAAACTTTTGACTTTGAAATATAGGAATTCAGTTGCAATATTCCAACGGATTATTGGAGGCTATAAAACTGGTGTTGATAATTATTCATTTCACAAACAGACAACAAGCGTTGTTTGGAAGCAGACAGTCAGGTCATATGAACCAACAGACTTCACAAACGGGCCTACTTACAAATTTAGTCGGAATAATATTTTTCCCCAGTTGTCTCTCTGAATCCGAGAGAAGTTAAGCCATGCGTACGTCGTCGTAATTTAGAAACGCCAGCATTTACCTACGAGTATTGACTATCGGCGGGAGAGGTGATCATTGGTTCATGGCGGGTTGGTGGTTGACGATGACCTGGATGTGAGGCGGCTGCTGCTGGTTGTCGACGGAGGGGGGATGCTGATGATGATGGTGTATGTACTGTTGGGCCATCATGTGTGGGCCATTGGGAGCAGGCTGGGCAGGCAGACACATGATGGGGTACGCGTGTGTGGGAGGACCGTTGGGCGGGGGTGGCAGAGGCTGGGGGTAGTTGCTGGCTGGAGAGGGTGGCGGAGCTGTGTTGGGGGTGGGGTGAGTGTGAGTGTGCAGGTGGTGGGGATGTGGAGGCATGGCTCCTGCGGGGCTCATGTACTGCAACTGTGGCACGTTGCCTTGCTGTGTCGGACTCTCGTGGTGATAGTTGATGGCCGAAGTGGGCACCAAAGGCACTATTCCGCCACCCTAGAACACACAAAACCATGAAACCTGTCAGGTCCATTGGCAGCTGGTAGCATTGACTATGAATTAGTGCAAGTAGATTTCTTGTCTTACTGCAACATCTGAAGCTTGTTTATTGACATTTGAGTGTTTTATGTTGATTAATTGTTTTTCTTTAATTTTAGGGTACCTAAGTTTTATACAATTTGTTGTGCTTTTTTTTGTTTATAGTATAGAAAAAGCAATGGTTTACATACTGATGTTATAAAATAAATTTTAAAATGTTCAAACAGGTACGGTACCTAGGAAAAAATTGTATATCAAAATCATCCTCTTAAGGTACCAAAAACAAAACTAACCAAAAATATTCTTTAGCTAAGGAGTGCATAGTAATGAACCATTTACAAGGTAGTATGTTTAAACTAAGCTAGTAGGGAGCTCACGTTATCTGAAGGTCACAAGACACATCCTTGAAAAATCTGTTGGTTTTTCAAAATTCTATGTTGTACCTATGAACAACACCAACAACACACAATCATCATCAGACCCAATAGCTAAATGAATCACCACTTAGTGGAGGGTCCAGAAGGGGGGGCAAAGGAGGCGACCCCCCCCCCCTCAGTCATATATTTTTTTTACATCCTTTAATGTCAAAATTTTGCTGCGATCGGCAAAGACGATGATAATGTTCCGTAACCGCGGGAGTTATTCAGGGTTTTGCTGTCACCACGAGAGACGACAATGTCCACACGACCGCGGGAAAATATTTTGCCGTGTTCGTGGAAGACGATGCTGATGTTCCGTTGAGGGGTTATTTGGTGATTTGCTATGACTGTGGGAGACAATGAAGATGTCTAAAAAGCCGTGGAAAATTATCAAAATTGTGCCACGATATTGGAGGATGATATTTCTATTACTTACCACGGAGGATATTCAGAATTTTGCGGTCACCGCGGGAGGCAATGACAATGTCTACACAACTGCAGAAAATGATAAAAATGTTGGCGCGATTGTGGAAGACTGTGGAAACCGTTAATAATGTCTACATGGCCGAGGGAGATGATCAGAATTTAGACTTAATTTACCGTCTTGTGAGTCAACAGTATAAGTGTAAATATATTTATACAAGTGTTATTAGACATATTTTTGTATTTGCAGGTAATTTAATAACATGTGCGATGCTGATCAAGAAGCTATAAATAAATGCAGTTTAGCGCCTTCACAAGAGCCGCGAGGACAGTTAATGCAGCCTGCATGACGATGAACAAGATTTCTCCATTAATGGCTAGTACGACTATCTCTCATAAGATCTCAACTGGAATTGAATTCAAACATCTGTTGATTAAAATTTTAATGAATAGTTCTTCTCATGTTGTATGATATCTTTAAATCACGTTCCCATATCACATAGTAAAGTTTTTTTTTATTTTAAAACTTTTTTCAAATAGCAAATTAGCTCCAAATTTTTAAAACTCATAATTTTTAACAACTCGGACAACTACGCACGTCACACAGGCCACTGAGGTCTACGTGTACACTCATTTCCATTTAGATTGATTTTACAACCCAAAGCAAATATATTTCAATTAGTTTAAGTTTATCCATATATAAATCCCAAAGTACCCATGAACTTTTGAGAAAACTAAAGTCACCCCCCCCCCCCCCCCCATAAACAATACAATTCAAATGTTCGTCATGACGAGAAACCTTGCGCAAAACTACCCATTATTTAATAAATTGCCCTTTAAGGTCGTAATTGCTTTCTAAAGGGAAATTTCCATCTACCTAATGTTAAAAATACCTCAGCTGTACTTATTTGTATGTTATTCTTTCCATTAAACCTTAAAATCAGGTGTGATTATAATTGTTTGTATTCTGTATTCTGTTTTGTTTATTTCAGCTTAACTTAACCAATCAATAGTTTTATTAGCCTAATACTTATGAAGTCAAACGGGTTGAAACCCGTGGGTCAGCTAGTAACTATTAATATCTTTTTTTAAATTGAACGTGTAAATAAATACAAATAAAAAATATTGAGGCCCCATTTGAAAGAATATTACGTGAGGCCTACCTTAATTTTTCGTAAACAATTTATTTTATGCTTCTAGACAACTATCTTTGTATTTTATTTGTTAAAAAATTGTTATTTTGTTTGTATAGGTCTCAGGCCTAGTTATTGTGGAAATAAAACTCATTTCATTTGATTTCATTTGAGTGTATTCCTAACATCTTAGTGGATTCCCACTTGTTTCCCCCCAAAAGATGATATGATACAGTCCTTATTTGAATAGTTTCAAATCTTATTTCAATAACATTAGGCCTACCTGCTGCGCCATCATATGCATCATCATCTGTTGGTAAGACTGAGGGGCGAGGTGACGCGGCGCCGTGTAAGGCACAGTGAAGTGCGCTCCCATCGGCACCGGCGCAAGCAGAGGCTGACCTGTGGCTGCAGCGACCTGCATCTGCAACACAATGTTAAATCTGTCACAATGTTTCACGAGGTGAAATGGAAATAATACCAATACTTTTTACTAATCCATCCTTTCAGAGATTTTTGCAGGAATTGAGTAGGCCTATTGAATAGAACAAAACATGCCATTCCCAATTTAAGGTTATTGCCAGCTTCATAATAAATATCAACGAGGGTCGGTTTGAGCCACCAGCAGTGAGCTGAGATAATTACTGATTTCTGTTGAATAAGCCTAATTTTTAACGTTACAAATTAAACAAAAATTACAACTTTTTGTCAACGGTGTCTTTTATTCTTGGTCTTTAATTGGTTTCTGTTTTTTACAAAGTTTTTTCACTTTCCTGAAGGCTATTAAATTGTATGTTGCTTTAAGATTTGAGAAAGGTTGGGAGAAGCTATGCCAGCACCAGCTGGAGGTGTTATTAATGAAGTGATAGTGTGAAATGGCATACTCAGGAAACATTTCTAGAAGAATAAACAAACAAAACTAGAACATTTCTTAATAAAACAGTTTACTAAGACTGGATTAAAAATAGTACAATTGATCTACATAGTAGATGTTAGGCTTTTGCATGAATAAATATGTGTTACGAAACCTTATTAACATGCACTTATATTGCAGCCTAAATTTATTATCGTCTCATTTTACTTTAAATCCTGTGGAGAAAAACACTTTTTAGTAATGATTTTGGCTATCTAAAAATTTGTTCCCACCATTTATCTCAGTTGAGAGAGGTTGTATTGTGGGTTAGAACAGAAAATATATTAAAAACTAAATCCCAGCCAAAATATTATTGAGCTATTTTACACTATTTGAAATAAAGCAATGAGTGTGTTTACCTGCGAGAGGTCTGGCCTGTGAGAAACTGGCATCACCTTCCTGTAGCGATGGCCTTGATTGGGAGTGGCAGCTGTGAAAGTCGGTTGGTTTGTGACTACGTAGGTTGCTGGAACCATCACATTCGGAAGTGCGGGACTAGGACCGTAGTTAGGAGTCTGCGGAGTGTGTGGTCTAGAAGGAGTAGGAGTACTTGGTGAGCGAGGTGTAAACGGTTTGAACTCTTTAGCGTTGGGATTCAAAGTGGACTTCTTCAGAGTTGAGGAAACTTTATCTACTTCGTTACCGTGTTGATCTTTACCCTCAGACTGTTGATCCGGATCGTTCATCCCCATGTGCATTTTATTGTCTTCCGAACTCACTTCAGCGAGTTTAAAGTCACTCCCGAATTTCTTCAACTCGGAGATTGTGTCCTCTCTAGGCCTTGGTGGTTTTCTGTGACTTGGAGGGGGAGGTTGCTGCTGCTGGGCCTCTACTATCGGGCTCTTACGTTGTTCTACAGGCTGTTGCATCATGGGGGGCTGGGACATGGCAAATGGCGGGGGATGACAGAGCACCTGAGGAGAGTTAGGTGGCAGGGGGTGTTCTACAATTGGCTGGTGTGGCATTGGAGGAGGACCTTGTGGCCTGATGTGAGGGCTGTGAGACATGGGTAGCGGAGGTTTGGAGTCAGAGGGTGTGGTAGCCGGGCTACTCCTCATCACTTCTGACTCTCCATTAGTCTGATACCTAGGGCCGATGTTACTATCTTGTGGATATCCCCTTCCAGTCCTTAAGCCGGGGGGAGGTTTTTGCGATTTAGAAAGTTGTTGATCCATCTGTCTACCCAATCTTTCACGTTGAGGTAAAGGCTGCTGGTTTGTGGAGTAAGATACGGGGGACGGCACTGTGGTAACAGGTGATTGTGCCATGGGTTTGTTGGGTGGAGGTTGGCGCATGGATGGTGCAGGCTGGGGAGGGGGTTGTTGCTGGAATGGTGGAGGGTTGTGTTGGGATAATGGTGACTTAGGCAATGATGAGTGAGTCTGGGGCTTCACCGGGGGCTGAGAAGAGGCGGGCTGTGAGGGAGGATTGTTTCGAACAAACTTTCCAGCTTGCTGGTGTTTCCTCTTCGCAGGAGGCATGTACGGTTTGCTTGCGTCACTGCTAGAGTCTCCTGGCCTTTGCACAGAAGCAAACCTTTCCTCTTCATCTCCATTTTCTAGGTCCATCCTCGCTTTGTAAGTGGGATTACTTTCTATTTCATTAGCAATTTGGGCAGCTTTAGCTTCCGCTTCCTTAAACTCTTTGGTGTCCTGTTTTTGTAAAGGTACAGTGTAACCTTGTAAGGAATGGTCAAATGTAGATGTCACTCCGTAGGCTTGCTCGTTCTTTTTAAACATGTCTTGAACATCCCATCCGTTGACAGCTGCTCCATTTAAGTCAAATTCATCACCATTACTAGTCGATTCTTCCCACGGTTCAAGCTCTTTTTCACCGAGTTGCCCATTGAACTTACTGATAGCAGTATCTGTTTGAAAAGTGTCTCTTGTGGCGTATTCGAGATCAATGTTTTTTGCATCCATAGTAACAATATCATTAGGTTTGAATATTATAACATCTAGGACAGTATCTACATCGATTTGAGAAGGATCATTTGAGGTTACTTTGTGCGCCATTTCTAATACCACTTCAAAATTAGTGGAAAATGTTCTGAAAATCCCCTCATAAACTGATCCACTCTGTGTCTCTATCTGTACTGTGTTCCCCACAAGTGACGTGGCTGTATGCATGAACGGGGAGTTGTTATACACTCCTTTGGCTACAATGCTGTTTCGTTCGGGCCCCCTGGTGCGGGTGGCACGCCCGGTGTTGGACCGATTTTGCTTCGTCATTTTACCCTCCCTTGATTTGCCGGAATGGGCACCCTCCACTTTTACTACAGGGACCGGAATTTTGGTAAATTAAACTTCCTTTGAATCTTAAACACTTGAGTTCACCAACCAGTGAAGTTTCCAACAGATCACAATACACAACTTGAAAAATAGAGACCTATACACATTCTATTCTTCTGAAGCTTGCCTAGTGACTCCTACGAGCATCAAATGGAGTCAAATGGAGTAAGTCTTCTGTCTGAAACAGAAAAAAAATTAATTGCTAAAATGAATGGATTAACTTGTAAGGTTTTTCACAATTAAGGGATTGGAGCGTTAAAGCTCTCAACAAAAAACACATGATGATATTGATGGTTTCATGGTACGGTAGTAAGTTAATAAGTATAAAATATTATGAGCATCGGTAATTTTAACACTTATTAATTTTTGGTCCAGGAATTATAATACGGTAGATTTGTTTTACTATTCTATTACTATCTTCATTTAGAATAGGTACACTCAACTATGGATATTATGAAATATTTAGCCCTTCACTTTAGGTCAGCTATAGTTGTTGTACTGGCCATGTTGTTGGTGTAAATAAGTTAGGGTGAAATTAAAAATAGTATAAATCCTGCTGGTAATTCTTCAAATTTTATCAAGCAACTAGTTTTGACAAAAGCTGTCATCTTCAGGCTGTACAAGAACACATGCCTATTGTGGTCATCTTCTGAAGTAAAAAATGTTTTTTAGGAAATAGTACGCCTACATATAAATAAAAAACACAAGTCACGTTAAAATCATGTTCCCTTGTCTTATTATTTATGGTTAGTTCTGTATCAGATTCATGTTTGGCCAAAGGCGATATGACCACGTAACTCCCTATTTCAACCTGCTTTCATTGATGCAGTTTAATGAACTTCGGGAATTTCACACCCTCCGTCTTCTACACTCCAATATCAATAGTCAAATTCCCAATTATTTATCAGACAACTTCCATTTTATTTCTGACATCAGCACCCGTGCCACTCGTAGAGGCTCTCACCTTTTATCTACACAAATTCACCGGTCAACAGTTTTTAACAAATCCTTCTTGGTATCTGCAATTCGAATGTGGAATTCTCTTCCTGACCATATCAAATCCATAGGAAACCGTGTGAGGTTTGGGGCAGAGCTATTATATTGAGCAGCAGGCGTGAGTGAGTCTCTGGCGCTGGTGTGAGGGGTTGTTGGCGGCTTGTGTGAATGGGATTTTTTTAGGATTACTAAACTTAATTTCTTCATGTTTACTCATTAAATGTATTAGGTACTTTAGATTATTTAAATTTACTTATATAAGTGAATAAGTTTTTATTTATTTATGTATTAGAGGTTAAGTGGTACAGAGGACTTGCCAAGTCCTAACTTCGCCTCTTAAATAAAGCTACATTTTTTCATTTCATTTCATTATTTGTGATTTCATTTAAATGTACTTTTTCGCTTGAAAAAATTGAAATAGGCCTAAGCTATCTACAATTAAAAAGTGCTCTTTTAACTGTGCAAATGATGCCAAAACTGGTTGCTTGATGAAATTGCAAGGATTACAATAGGTTTGAACTTGATCTGCCTACTTGATCTGTTAATTGGTATCAGAATTCCTAATTGCTAAAAACATTTTAAGGAACAGCCTACAACGCTATTGTCAACTCCCAGTTTTTGAAATAGGTACCGGTATATATTAATTGTCAGAAATTTCCCACAAGCCAGACCACTGAAGTTTTTTTTTTCAAATTAGTTCTGCATAGGCCTATAGCATTTTTCCCCATCTTTTATGAGAAACCCATCGAGATAGCTTAAGTTTTGCAAATCAACATAGATTTTGCTAAAGAAACATGTAAAGGTTATAGATTCTGTTCTTACTATTAGCCTACTGACTTAAGAAAAAATGAGTTGATTTAGAACTTAATTACAATGAAACTACGCTAAGTCAGGCCAGCCAGGAGCGCCACCGATCTGTCAAAGCGAAAATCGATGTTAGCCAAAGAAAGAGCAGAAAAAACAAAAACTTAAGTATTGTTATCCTAGGCCTACTACAATTATTTCCCTAATTAGGCTACAAATAAAAAAATAAAAACCAATTAACACAAATTTTACAAAAATGACTTGCTACCTACAGTTAGGCATTTAACTTACGGCAAAAAAACTTAAATAGGCTAAGCTTTAAGTCTAAAAAAAAAAAAATAGATTTTATACCTACTCAAAAATATGATCACAGCTTGCACTCGCATATGATTGTAGATGCACTCGTACAAAGCAATAAACCTAAGTAGGGTATTAACATATTTGATAGGCACTAGATAACTTAGGCCTAGGCTTCTTTTTGTTCATTTAGCCTATTCAAAACTGGTCTGGGTAGTCCTGATCCAGAGATTCGACTTAAAGAGGTCATTCTGTAATTATGTATGAATTTATGAATGGTGAGGTAAGTAAGGCTTACGATAATGTTAAATGGAATATGCCTAATAGGCTAGGTGTAAGTCTATAAACAGGTCTATAGGAACAAGCTCAAAGAGGTGTACACGATTTATATATACTACACTGGATGACAATTTAAGTTACTTCCGAGCAAAAGTTAATTTATCTTGAAAACTTTACGAAATTGTGGCACACTCTAACGCTGATGGGTAGGCGAGTGGCAACTCTAGGGTAGAAGTGGAGGTACATTAGCCTATTTAACAAAAACACAATAAGCTTAGGAATACTTTCCTGTTTAAACTTGTACAAAATTACATGCTAAAGGAACTTGAAGATAAACTTTGGCTAAGTTACACCTTAGCCTACAAAACCTTTGAGTACCGGTACCGTACCGTACCACATACTTAAGATAATAAAAAAAGGAAGCAATGGAACATATAATAAATTGTCATTGTTCTTAACGATATTTCTTAGTTCAAATGAAACTTTGTCATGGAGATGCTGAAACTTACGTTATTTAGGCCTACCCATAAAAACGGTCTTAATTAGATCTTATCCGGGTTAACTTACATAAACTTAGGCCAAATTACAATTTTCACCAAAGTTAAGTTGCTCCACAGTTAGCCTACCTAGTGGCATTTTGTATTTACTTAGGGAGATTAACTAAGTAGTTAAAAAAAGGAATTCTGAATATTTAAAAATATCAATGTTTAAGTATTAGCCTAACTGAGATTGTGTTTCAAGTTTTACAGAACTCAAATTAAGATAACAACTTTTTTTATCTAAGTTGTTCCCTACTGTGTAGGCCTAAACTCAATATTATGATAAGCCAAGAAACCCACACAGCCATCAAGTTACTGTCTCCATAAGTACCTAATCAAAAACATAATTTGCATATTGTCATAGATAAATGAAATCAGGGTTCACCAATGGAATCTTAATAACTCTTCTGTTGACTCAAGTCAACTAGGGTCCTATTTATTATTGATACCAACTTAAATGGAAATTCTGGAATCATGCATAGGATCAATTTAACCAGCGACAGGAGTAAGGGTAATTTCAAAAGTTATTTGTTTTACATTACTTGTCACCTCTATCTAATCAAGAAGAAATGAAATAACATTAAACAATTGCAACCTTGGACCTACTGCAGTTTGCATTCTTAGCCCAATCCCCAGTAGAGAGCTGATAAGTTAGCATTCCTTGAACTGGGACCGACTGCTATTGTGTGATTTTCTTATTGGAACGATTAGATAGATAAAATAATTACCTATTAAGACAAACTCGTTGTTTTGTAATTAATATACTTTGTTAAATTGTAGTTGAAATATACTATACACTCACTTAACCTTAACGATTCAACAGAAACACAAGTTTCACACAAGATGGCTATGGCTATTCGCCACCACCAAAAAAATTTCCCTCCAAGAACATACTTATCATCAGCTGAGATTATATACATATAATTATCGCTGATTGTCCTGGTTTAAAGTCGGGAAGAATAATTAACAAAACCAAATGGGGTAAAATTATTACAAATTGATGAACTTTTTAAAATCATCAAAACTAATAAACTGAATAGTGAACATTTAAAAACCACTCACTCAAAACTTAAATGATCCCAAAATAACTCAACAAAATGAGATTTGTGGATACAGAATGACAAGATTATTAACATGGTGTACTAGAATAAGAAGTTATCATAGAAATCGTCATCATAGTTGATAAAACCATAAAACATACTCCCTTGGTTAGTCTATAGCCTATGCTAAAACACTCCAGTAGATTTGTCACCCTAATGGATCAGCTGAAGACAATTTTATTGTTAGTCCCATCTCCTATCACCCGTCCGATGCCGTTAGGATCGTGCTTTTGTTTACAGTTTGTTTCTATTATTAAAATTATTCAAAAAACACCTTAAACCAAAATAGCTACTTCCCTATAGGGAAATTCGCTAAAAAGTTTGAATCATAACTCGTCCACTAGTTATATGGCGAAACAATATCATGAAATTAACCCTAAAATAATAGAAAAACGATTTCGTCGACACTAGTGCCCAGTGTCACCAACATGAACTAGACACGAAAACGAGCTTTAAATTTTTCGATGGGATGAGAAGTCTACTTGTGTTGGTTTGTTTATAGATAAAACAAACTCCCTTATGAGTATAATTTATCATAGAGTAAACATATAATGTTTTATCCTTGGTTAGTCGATGATATTATTTAACCATTCAACGATCCGAGCAATTTAACATATTCACAATTGAATGCGTTTGCTTTTATCATTCTTTGGTCTTTGGTATAGAATGAAGTTCATTGATCTCATCATGGAAGCACGTCTTCTTCTCAGTTTCAGGAGGAAATAACAGCGGGAGGATTTGAATCGCTTAAGTTTACAAGTGTTCTGTTGTATGTCCTATATTAAGTAATAAAATTAAGGTAACTATTAAGTAATATTAAGTAAATTAAAGCTTAAGTTATTAAGTTAATTAAATTAAAATAATAATATTTATTATTTAGGTAAATTAATCATATTAAATTATTTTGTCTTCAATTCTTCAACTGTATCGGGTTTTCACTTCCTCCCCCTATAGTATATGGAGAAAATATTGTTTCTGTCAAAATTTTTGAGTTTGAGTTTTGAGTGGATATATCTGTTTTGGGTCCCTCCGGACCCAAAAAAGTGGTTTTCGAAGTGATGCCTGTGTGTGTGGATGTGTCGATCGCCGAGAAGGTGGTGTCCCTACCTGACGACAATGCGCGACCTTCCAAGAAACGCAGGAGGCCTACATCAGAAAGCCCTCCAAAAAGAGAAGAGGTTGTTCAGACAGCAAAGCCTAAAGTTAAGGTCAAGGCGACCCAGACTTCTAGGTCCTTCTCTGACGTAGTTGCCGCTCCAGCGAAACCTCAACAGCCACAGCAACCTGCGACACCCATTGAGGGTAGCTCCCGAAAGGGGTCAGTCGTAGAAACACCATCTGGGACTGTGTGGGAAAAGCGCCTTACGAAAAGGAGAAGAGGAAATTGAGGCACGCGGAAGTCGGCTCCAAGACATATGTGGCAGTGAGGGCGCAGTCGACCGGCGTGGCCCAAGCTGTGCCTGGCTCGGCACTCGCTAAAAAGTCGCGGCCCAAAAAGCCCAGGACTGAGGCAATTTTGGTCAAGCCTTTGGAGGGAAGATCATTCGCCGAAGTCTTGGGTGTTATCAAGGCCAAGGCTAAGCCAGAGCAAACCGACACGGTTGTACGGTCGATTAGACAAACCCGGGACGAGGACGTCCTCCTCGAACTGGGTAAGTCTAAAGATAAAGCCGCCTTTGCTGCCGAACTAAAGGCAGCTGTGGAAGGTCAGGGCACCGTTCGTGCTCTCGAACCCAAGACGTCCGTCGAGGTTCGGGATATGGATTGTGTGTCAACGGAGGATGACGTCATTGATGCCCTAAAAAAAGCTGTCCCCGAGCTTGCCGGACAAACGGCTAGTCTGAGGGTGTGGCTCACGAAACCAAACCGGAGTCAACAGCGGATGGCGGTCGCCGAAATGGCAGACGCAAACGCCAGTAAGGTTTTGGCACTCCAGCATTTGAGGGTTGGATGGGTTAATTGCAGGTTGAGACGGAGGGTGGAAGTAACGAGGTGTTTTAAATGCCTTGATTTCGGCCATTCCTCCCGAAACTGCGAAGGGCCCGACCGAGGCAAGAACTGCCTTCGATGCGGGGAGGTGGGTCACACTCGTAGGGACTGTAAAGTTGAGACCTGTTTCCTCTGTAAGGAGAAAGGCCTCAATGATAAAAACGCTAAACATATAGCTGGGTCTGGGCAGTGCAGTGCATTTAAAGGCGCACTACAACAAGCGAAAGCCCAACCACGAAGATAAGGATCCTCCAGTGCAATGTAGATCGATCCAGGACGGCTGACGCGCTTCTCAGTCAGCTTGCCCTCGAACACGGTGTTGACGCGCTCTTGGTCAGCGAACAGTACCAGTACCGGGACAGGGACCCATCTCTTTGGTTTCCCGATACACTTGGTACTGCTGCGTTCTGGGTTCGTAATACAGCTAAAGTGCAGGTAAGGAGTCACGCGAAGGGCCGAGGATTCGTTTGGGTCCGGTGCGGGGATGTCACTTACTTTAGTGTATACCTCACCCCCAACGAGGCTATCCATGACTTTCGTGGAAAGATAGACCGCCTGGAAGAGAGCGTGCGCGATACCGCCGGGCACGTTGTCGTGGCGGGGGATTTCAATGCTAGGGCTGTCGAGTGGGGAATGACTCTCACTAATTCCCGGGGGAAGTACATCCTGGACTTTGCTGCCAGGGCTGGACTTGTTGTCATAAACGAGGGCAACACGCCAACTTTCCAGCGTCCCGGAATGAGGGGAACGATCCCAGACATCACGCTTGCATCTGAGTCCCTCTTGCCGAGGATACGAGCCTGGAGAGTCCTAGAGGATTATACGGCCAGTGACCACCAGTACATCATTTTTGATGTCATGGATAGTCATCAGAGACAAGCTACCGTGTCTCGGCAGGTGCCTGTTCGGTGGAACACCAAAAAGCTGGACGTGGCCAAATTCACCGAAGTCATACTACGGGGAGAGCCAGTGGTACCTGCTGCATCTGGCGTGGCTCACGCAGAGACATCAGTTACATCATTGATGAGGCTGATAGTCTCGGCCTGCGAAGAGTCAATGCCTCGCAGGAGATCCCGGTGCGATAAGCGACCTATGTACTGGTGGACAACCGAGATCGCAGAACTACGACGGGCAGCATTGAGAGCCAGACGTCTTGCTACCAGGGCCAGAGAACCTGAAGATAGACGTCTTAAGTCTGACGCTTACAAGGTGGCTAGGAAGTCTCTTCGCCGGGCCATTAACCGGAGCAAACGCAGTTGCTGGGAGAAATTAAGGGACGATGTCGATTCCGATCCGTGGGGCCTTGGTTACAAGATAGTAACCAAGAAGCTTGGCACCCGCTCTCCACCTTCCGTTATGGACGGGGCCTCTATGGAGAGGATCGTAAAGTCCCTTTTCCCGACTCACACACTGCGCCCATTGCGGGAGTTCGGAAGGGTGGACGACGTACCGCTTTTCAGTCTCGAGGAGTTGGAGGCGGCCGTTCTGTCCCTGAAGAACAACAAGGCTCCTGGACCGGATGGGGTACCTGGTGAGGCCCTGAAGAAAGTCTTTTCAATAAACCCACAAATCCTTTTGAGCACGTACAATGCCTGTCTATGGCCGAGGGGAAGTTTCCCTTCTGCTGGAAAACAGCTAGGCTTGTGCTCGTGGGGAAGGGAAAAGGAAACCCAGACCTACCCTCCTCTTACAGACCTCTCTGTATGTTGGACACTGCTGGGAAAGTCTTGGAAAAGTTGATCCGTTCCCGACTGAATTCAGCCGTGGTTGCTGCAGGGAATCTATCCCCTCGTCAGTACGGTTTCAGGAAGGGACGGTCAACGGTTGACGCTATTGAGGAGGTAAAGCGAGCCGTAATGAGAGCTGAGGAGTTTAACAACTATTCTCGTCGGGTTGTGCTGCTTGTAACACTTGATGTGCGAAACGCATTTAATTCCGCGAGGTGGTGCGATATGCTCGACGCACTGGAGAACACTTTCCACGTCCCGGCATACCTCATGCGCATGATAGAGGACTACCTCCGGTACCGCCTCATCATTTACGACACTACAGAAGGCTCCAGGACGATGGATGTAACTTCTGGTGCTGCTCAAGGATCCATACTGGGCCCGGACCTCTGGAACGTCGCCTACGACAGCCTCTTGAGATCCGAGATGCCTGAGGAAACTGTCCTAGTTGGGTATGCAGATGACGTTGCGGCTTTAATAGCTGCACGTAGCATTGAGCTTGCCCAGCTGAAACTAAATCAAGTCATGCGAACCAATTAACGCATGGATGGCAGAACATGGTCTCTCGCTCGCTCTGAGCAAAACTGAGATTGTCATTCTGACTAAAAAGAGGATTGACACCATCGTGCCTTTGATGGTGGGGAACGTTGAAGTCCAAACCACTCGTGCCGCAAAGTACCTTGGGGTCATGGTGGACAGCAAGCTCAGCTGGCGAGACCAGATCACCCGTACGGCGGACAAGGCCGCTAAAATGGTTTCTTCCCTTAGTCGGTTAATGGCCAATGTCGGAGGTCCACGGTCCAGCCGCAGAAGGCTGTTGATGTCTGCGGTCCAGTCAGTGCTCCTGTACGGTGCGGAGGTCTGGGCAGACGCTCTCAATAAGGAGGTATATAGGATGCGGCTCGCCCGAGTGCAGCGTCAGGCAGCACTAAGGGTAGCATCTGCCTATCGAACAGTGTCCGAACCCGCCGTCCTGGTGGTTGCTGGAGTCATCCCCATCAAACTTTTGGCGGCGGAGAGGAAGGCAATTTATCAGCG